GGATTGTTAGGGAAGCAAACAATATAAACGTAATTTCTCATATGCGTACGTAGACCCTTGGTATATTCTTGAGGAAAGAGCTATGGGGTATTAATTTAATCCTTATTCTAAGCAGCTTATGCTATCATACAAACATATCTGAATTTTATGAAATGAATTTCGAAATTTTCCTAGTTATTTTAATCTCCCACATGATAGAACCAGTTACTACTTTCGCTTCTTAGGGATAATAAATGTACCTTCCAAATGCTGTTTAAGCGGTAGAACCAATATCAATTTGGGTCTTTACTCGGGTAAATCATAGAGAAATCCCTTTCTCCCTTCCGTAACAATCCTAAGGAAGTATGCGTTTATTCTCATTCTATCACTCCAGTGTTCTGTTGTATGGCAAATACATCTAACCAACTCTTTTTGAACGGGAGGAGGATAAACCGAAGTTACAAGGTAGTGCTTTTCAGGTAACCAGTTTTCGGGTGATTTTGAGTCCCATATTAGACGGGTTATTCGCTTGTTATGGCATTGCTGCGGGCACCTGGCATCGAAGCATTGGGATGAGTTGGGTGAGTAGCTCTCTTTTTTAGAAGTAGTTTTTGTGAAACAGAAAGTTTCTGCTAATGAGTATTTCCATAGTTTGCCTATTTTTTCTTTATCTCGTCTAACTAACTACTAACCGCTCTTATTGGCCAAAAGTTTTCAAAGTTAGTCTGCAGGGTCTAGAACTGCGTGAAAGCAAATGAGATATGTTTTATAATGCGTATACTTGTAATATTATTGTTCATTTCATGAAAGCATTAGTAAATCTTTTTTCTCAATCAGAACAGTTTAAGGTCAACTGGAACTGCGACCGCAGTGCGCCTTAGTGATGGCTCATCTTGCGAAACTCAGCAAAACATTCGCGCTTCTTGATAGTAAAGATCAGCAACTAATCAACAACATGGTGCAGACGGTGAGTTTGCTAGCTGCGAATAGAGGCACATCCGACCAATGAGCATTTTTGCAGATCCGTCCTTCGAATGTGGCGTCGCCAGGCCGTGGAGACGACCCAAGCAGTGGTGCAACACAACGATGGAGTCGTGTCCCATCGTCCAAAAGTGGAAGTTGGGGTGGTCACCCCACGCCGGCCGTCCTTACGTGTAAACCCTACGCGCAAACGTGTTAGCTGCCCTCGTCTTCTCTTACCGTACTCACCTCTTTTCTTTCTCGGCTGCTTTGAAACGGCGTACAGTATTGATTGGTCGCCGATCGTTTAAACGCGGGTGTTCGCCGTGGTGTATGTGAGGTGACGCGTACGTTTTATATCGCGTTTCACATTATCACCGTCTTTGGGGAATGTTTTGTGTTGGTTTGCATGTGAACCATTCGTATTTTCGTTTTACCACCCTTTACTTGGGTATTGAAAAGGATTAATTGCCTCAAGAGTTGTGATCGTCACAAGTGTTCTAGTGTTTTATCTACCTGTGAAACTACAGATATTGTCATAGTGCGTTTGTATTTTATGTAAAATTACGTGAAGATTTCATCTGGTCCGCTTTTTTAACATATGTATCATACTCATGACCGGACACGTGTTTTTCCAAAGCTTATTAGTTGCACGCGCCTCTTCACTCACTTGACTGTATATAACCGGATATACATCTTTTTTTCTTGTGCATACTAGAGCGTGTTTACCGTATTTCAGGCGCAAAATCTCGGTGGAATATCGGTTTCAATAAAAGTGCATTCTGTTGTTGTAGTGAGTTCTGACAATCGGACAGCTTAGACGAACAAATCAAATTAGGTGTTCAGTTCTTTGATCCTTGTACTAAGAGATACCTTCGAGCGATGGTACTGATGGGATATGAGACATTATTCTACGAAA